GCGATGTGATATTCTAAGCTGGATTGAATCAGGCAGCCCGGATTGGTTGGATCGATTTCTGGGCTGGTTGGGGTTGGCTGGGAAAGTGTGATTGGGGGTTGGCAAATGCGCGTCGAAACTGAACAAAGTTATTGTTACAAATTCACAACGCAGCCGTAGTAGTCCAGTCAGTTTCGATATTCGGAATACCTGGGTTCAAATCCCGGTAGCGGACCATATCTGAAACTAGGCCTGTGTCCACTCTTCGAACCAATCTTTTATCTTACTGCGGCTCAAAATTGAGGCAGCATAATTATCCACACTTCAAGCTCAAGGCCCAAATTGCGGACCGAGCGGGCCAAGAATACTATTCTTGCACACTTTGCGTTTTTTGTGTTGTCTCTTCGTGTGAAGCAATCTGATTGGTTACAGAAGGTGTAGAAGCAATCTGATTGGTTTCGGAAGTTTTGGAAGCAATCCGATTGGTTACAGTGCAAGTTTCTCAACTCTGCGGTTCGGGACTCTCGGTCCCCAAACACAAGGTGCCCCCGGAACTTCGCGTTCACCAACCCCACCCCCAACCTATGATGGATCTGACGCGTCAAGCGTTTTTTACGCTTTGACGCGCCATATCCGAGGGCATCCCCCCAGTTTGACGCTCTGGCGGGCAGGCAAAAAACACTGCCCGGGCAGGCAAAACAAAGCGGCAGCAGAGGAACTCCACCACCAACAAGAGCGGGAGTGAGCGGAGAGACGGACATGTCGGGAAAAAAACGGTTTGGCAGGAGGGAATGCTGAGAATTTGGTCGACGGATACTGAAACCCTAGAAAAGCGTGTGAAATGAGCGTCGGAGTTGAGATTGTGGCATGAGGGTTGGGTTGAACAGATCCTGTGCGGTGAAGGGTGGTGGGGGGCGTGGGTTTGTTTTGGGGTTGGTTGTGAGGTGTTTCTGACGAGTTGGCTTTAGGGATTGCGATTTCGTCGCAAATCGTGACTCAATGATTTTTCGCGGATTGTTCCCGATTCAGTACAATTTTTTTTCGATTTCGGGCTGCCCTAAAGTTTTTACCCTGAGCGTCAAGCGTCAAAACGCCACGTTTTGACGCTTGACGCTACCCCTTTTCAGCGTCAGATCCATCATAGCCCCCAACACCCAACCTTGCACAAGATTACTAATCTTGTGCAATTTGGGCCTTGAGCTTTAACTTACAAATCAGAAATTTTGGTAGCATAATTCAATACTTTCCTTTAAACAACTGTATGGCGACAACCTTTCACATTTTCACATGGTATTATTTTCAGCCTTATGTATGTCTGAACAAACAACATGTGACGTCAACCATAGAAACATTGATAAACCATTATCAAAACATCGGCAAAGCATTTAGGTCGGCCAAAATGATATACAAATGATATGTTGATGATTCCATAATGTTTGTCAAACGTTTTCCGAATCCTTGATATGGTCGAATGATTTCCATACATACACATTTTTGTGATGAGTATTCTCAATTTGTAAAGCATGTGGGATGGTACAGTTTTGCAATGTGTTGCCACACCTCTCCAATAGCTACCTCAGGGCATATTACTTCAAGTCGAAACTAGTCTGCAGTTCATAGTTTGAGAAGGCTCCATGTGCACATGCAGGGCCATATCTTCGGGTCGGGGGTCATCTTCGGGAGCCGTGCCCTGCCCTTGGTCATGGCTACAGAACGCGATTGCACTGCAAGGACGAGCAGCCTTACATGATTGTCTGCCTTCGTTTCATGTATTGATGCACTCTTGCTTTGAACCTTCGACCTCTCCCTTTTCCAGTTTTACTTGAGTACGACTTTCAGCCCCGCGTGAGGACACGATAAGACATTTACAATGCGCGCGCGTGTAATGCATATGAGACATGGACAGGCATGAAATTCAGTACATCCAGAGCCCAAAATAGAACTTGCTCGTTCCAGTTATCTTCCGTACCTTCTGCCACATTGCATCTCATCCTCTTGTGTCATCATCTTTATTAAGGGGAAACCTCTGGCATGTATACACCAAAAAGAAACTTGTTTGCATTGCAATGCTTTGACTGGGTCGAATTCGTCAATAGACATGATCACAAGGGCGAACACTTACTTCTTTCTTGCCCAACATGTTCGGGGCAAACATGTTTGTGTCCGGTTCGTCGCGGCTAGCCGAGCCGCGCCGAACACAAACATGTTCGTGTTCACGGCGAACACAATTCGTTCGTCGGAAAATTCCTGGGACCCCTCATCTGCGAGCTCAACTTCTGCTAAACTCCCCTCCCACAGCCTAGACTACAAGCTCCAACAGCTAGAATACCAGGACTCCAATGAAATAGTTTGGCGGAACCAAACTATATTCTTGTAGTCAATTATAGGGTTGGCGTCCATAGGTGATTAAGGCGTTTTAGGGCGTTCCCTTCACTCCCACACGCCCAACACACGTTTAGCCACACCTCCCTAAACGTCTAATCCACCATCGCGCATCATGTAACTTTAACGAAGACTGCCAAAAGGCGAACACGAATATGTTCGTGCTCTGGGCAGACACCAAACACCCATTTTCGTTGGAGGTGTTCGGCCGAATACGAACATGTTCGGTTCGCCTTTTGCTCATGCCTATCCGTCAATTATCAATCATTTTCATTGCAGTGATGTCAGTTATAACAACCTCACTGGCCAGCTCCCTCCAACAATAGGAAATCTCACTCTTCTTTCACACCTGTAAGGCACTTAAGCATGTAAAAGTGTTGCAATTGTTGAAATACATTTATCACATTATGCCACCTCCAACTGTTGCACATTTGCCTACCCTTGCTTGTACAACTTGGGCTCTTCCCAATTCTTTATTCCAAAACTTCGAAGCTTTCTTTGTTCCTCTTCTCAACCTTAACAGCAATTCTTAGCAACCTTGAAGCGTTGCACAAAGAGGAAGTTTTCAAGGTACCAAGGTTCTCCACTGGTGTACCCTAGCCCAAGTTTGATTGCAGAGGTAGGAGGTATAAAGGTCCCAAAGGCCACCCGTGGACTGGCCAGGCCCGATTCTCATCGGCCCGACTGGTATCAGGCTGGGCGAGACCACGTCAGGCTGACTTCTATAGCCGGCAAGAGCCAATGTATAGTGTGCCCGTATTTTCAATCTTTAAGCCATCTTACCATAGTAGGGTATTGCAATGTGTTACCATACCTCTCCAATAGCAACCTCATATCTTTTCACCTGCAGCTGAAACCCGTTTGTGATTCAAAGTTTGAGACCACTCCGTGTGCACATGCAGGGAGATATCTGGGACTGCAATCGCATGCCCTCCTGACTACAGCAGCTGCGTGGTACTGCAGAACGCTTCAAGTGCTTTCTGTGGACAGTGTGGCTCTTTCTGCAGAACATGTGACAAGTCACCACCACGTGAGATTATGCGGTTGGCTGCAAGTTATACTGCCTTTTTTATATAGTTTGTTCTCATTAGTGCTGAGTGCATGATAACTGCATTGCCACCTACATAACAAGCGTTTCCAGTGTCAGGCGCCCACAGCTCAGATTATCCCCACGATAAGCAATCCCATCCAATGCTTATGCTTAATGAACAACATTTGTTTCACCCCTCCAATGCCTTCCTTCTCTTCCTCTTGTTGTGCAATCTGTACCTTATTGTGCGCCCCGTTTCACCAACCCCACCATCATCCCATATCTGATTCCCTCCTCCGTTACATATCCCCATCTTCGTACTCCATGATAGTATCCTCCGCAGTGCCAGCGCCCCCTCCGCCCGGTTTATCGAACGGAGCCATTGCTGGCATTGTTGTTGCTGGCGGAGTTGCTGTCCTCGTGTTGGTGCTGCTGAGCTGGCTGCTGTACAAGCGATCCCACAATAAATCGGCAGGAGGAGGAGAGGATATTTGCAGTGATGTGGATGGCAAGAAATCGGCAGATGATAGTTTGTTTCGAGGTACGATATTTCTGTAGGCGCCCCCTAGCCTACATCTATGTTGGGATATACGCTAGCGCGTGTACAAGCTACACACCAAACGCTAGTGAACACACTATATGAGGCATAATTCTTTTGGGCAGCCAGACGGAATTGCACGACGAGCATTTTGCTGAAGTCGAAGTGCGTGTCCATGCTCTGTGCATGCGTGTCCATGCGTGGACGTGGGTTCAAACCTTGGTGTGACGAATGCATGGTCAATTTGCTGGGTCGCGTTTGCACGTTCACAATTCGGTCCACGTTCATTACCACATTCAAACCCATCCCATCTACTACATGTAACCGCTCGTACCCACGTTCCCATTACTCATCGTACTATTTAGCAAGTTGCGCAAACGCTCTATTATCCAGTTTCTATACTTCCAAGACAGCACTCACCCTTGCAATAATCTCTAGGCCGCCTCCCACGCCACCTTCCGTTCAAACAGTGGAGAGTGCTTGGGTTCATCCAGCTGAGAGTGGGGAGTGCCTTCTCGATGTGGACCACGGCGTGTTCAAGCATTTCAACATCATTAAGAAAATGGAGGGCAAAGCACAGCAGTACTGCTTTTGTGTTTTCTCAGGTGCCGCCATCCGTTGCGCTTAGCACTTCACATCGTGGTGGAAGATGAAGTGTTGCGAGGTGGCGCTTTGCAAGGAGGCAGCTCAAGATTTGTGGTTGTAGATGCGCACCAAGTATGAGGCACAGGCAGCAGCAACGGAGGAAAGGCGGAGGGTGCCTGCCAGCTGCTGCAGTTGCCGCGGTCAAGACGGGAGGTGGGAAGAGGGCGCGCATAACCGAATACCACATCGACCATCCCCTCTTCATCAACGCGCATCGCCGGCGCCGGCACCAGCTGTGTTCCCCCCAGGGGGAAGTACATCGGTGGAGCCGGACTGCTCGCGTGCCGCAGATAGCAGGGGCTGGTGGTGAGTATCAAGGGGAGCTGGAAGAATCCCGGAGTAACGGTAGTGTCCGATATGATGACGGACAAGTGCGGAAGGCCACAAGCGAATGTGCTCCTTGTAAACGACTCTGACGCCGCCCTCATGGAGTGTGTCGACTGCCGTATGGAACGCAAGACGGGGGGATACGTGGCGGGAGACTTGAGGCCGGTGGTGGAGGAGGTCAGAGCTGAGAATGCCGGTAGTGGGTGGCCCCACATTCAGCATGTGCCCTGCGCCACCCATGTTTTGGACTTGCTCATGGAAGGCAGGGGAGCTGATATCGTTCGTGCGCAACCATCATTGGACAAGGTGTTACTTGAGGACCCCTGGTTGGGGGGACGGTGTTGCAGGCGCTTCTGGAACTTCCCTTCATGGCGATGAGGCAGACGGATGGCGGCGCAAAGAGGATGATGGGCAGAATATATTACGTGATGCTCCAGCTGACTGAGGATGTGGGGGGTCTTGTGGAGGAGGATTACGCATATCTGGCGCATCGTCAAGAACCAGTGGGATGGAAATCTTGCCTGCGCCATGCACGTTGCTAGCCTCATCCTCAACCCAACCAATCAGGAGGAGGACATCTTCAGCAGCAACGCCGAATGCACCAAGATTTTCAAGGCCTGCACCAACCAAGATACGGAGTTCCTCAAGAGCTGTGGGAAGGGGGGAGGTGGGGAAGACGAGTGCTTTCTTGCCCTGCAGGGCGGGCTGAGGGCTTTCCGGGACCTAAAAGGGAGTTTCAGGCTGCCGGAGGCGATTGCACAGTGAAATGGTGAAGGGGGGAACAAATAGCATGGTGAAACGGTGGCAGTGGCACGGCACTAATGCGCCCGGACTGGCGTCTCTCGCCATCAGAGTGCTCTCTCAGCCAGTCTCCGCATCATCTTGTGAGCGTAGTTGGGCTGTGTGGGATTCAGTATACACTGCCTGCTGGAACCGACTAGGATCCGCCAAGTGCAAGGACTTGGTTTATGTTGCGCACAGCGGGCACACGCGCACTAATGTGATGCCCGGAGTTGTGAATGGGATTGTGGAGGAGTATCCTATCCCCGATGGCTACAAGGGGTTGGAAGAGACGGAGGAGGAGGAGGAGGAGGAAGGCAAGGATGACGTGTTGGTGGATGAGTACTCTTAGTAGTGAATACAGTACTGTGTGACCTTTGCTGTTTTCTGTGTGGGTCGTAGTAGATTTATTATGGGGAAATATGTGAACTCTGAAACAACCCCCAGGGCTCACATATAACATCCCCCGGGTGTTTTATTTTCCCGTGCCCGGTTTTCTGCATGCCCGAAAAGGCGTATGTCCAATCTGACCCTTTAGCGTATCGCGTATACACACTATGTATATACGATACGCTTATATACGCTAAACACGTATATTCCAACATAGGCCTAGATGAAGCAATCACAAGGCAAACGCCAACATATCAAAATAGAAGTTGCCTATCATCAAAACCAAAGGTTCACAAAGAGATCCAAGTGTGTTAGCAACAATTTTATGGGCCTTTCTCACCACGGACCAGCCCAGGTCCACACAGAGGAAAGGCCGCCCTCTTGGTTGGGCCTCACTCATGAGCTTTAGGGCGATGTCTCAAAATTTATTTATGTCTGATTTTTGGGGTGCTGCGCATTATCCCATTCCTTCTTATGCCCCACATAAGTGTCTGGGATGGCACTGTCTTTGGCATCCAACTCTATGTGAAATAGGCATGAGGAAATGAGGAAACCAAATGGCCCCTTTTTGACTTTTTTTCATTTGAACGCGAACCGATTCGAGGTCAGACCGAAATGGTCCGAGTCGAACCAGTTAGTGAATTGCCTGGTTACAAGTTTGGAATATTGGGTCCGGGTCAAACAGGGCAGGTTCGGTTCGCGGGGAAAAGATGAAGATTCAGGCATGACATCACACAACCATACAGCTATGGTGTCGACATGGCAGTGGAAGGTCGGCGAGCTTGTAAGGGTCAGCGAGATGACACCACGGATGTGACTGAATTCAATTTCTTGCAGACAGTTCATCCATAGCCTTGACTTGCCAGGATTCGTTGAATGAAGCCATGGTGCTTGCTGGTCCTTCCTGGGTCATTAGCAATCCACAGTAGGTGGTTGGGGATCCGGGGGCCCTTAGCTACTCGATCATCTCTTTCTCTTTCACCAACTTTCTCATACCTTTGCAGGACCAAATGATGAGGATGAGGATCCAGCCGCAGCAGCTGCAGCAGCTGCCGCAGCAGCGCTACCATTAGCAACCGCACAAGGGAGGCAGGATGATGGTGTTGTGGTGGAGATGGAGGCAGCACGGCCATACGTGTGTCGAGAGTACTCTCTGGCAGAGTTGGCCAAGGCTACAGGAGAGTGGGCAGAGGGGAACAGGATAGGAAGTGGCGGCTTTGGGGATGTCTACAAGGGTGTGTCGCCTCATGATTGCAATCAAGCTTGGGCAGTCAAACGAGCCCGAGTACTCACCAACGATTTCCAAAGAGAGGTATCAAGTTGTGAGTTTCCGTTGATATGTTAGTGCCTCGTTTCTTGTAAATTTCTTCTGCCAACTCTAAGCGAAACTGGTGGTCCAATGATTCAATCTCCTTTCATATGTTAACTGTTTTCCCTCGCAGGTGAAGGAGATGGCAAGCAAGCACCATCCACATCTCGTGCGTCTGTTGGGCTATTGTATCGATATCGACCTCTCCACGAGACTCATGGAGCAGGTTCTCGTTTACGAGCTCATGCCCAGCAAAGACCTTGAGAGCTGGGTCGGTCCAGGTGTCTCCCACCCTCTTTCGCTGCGCCAAAGGCTGGACATTCTGATTGGAGTGGCAAAGGGGTTGCAGTATCTTCATGACTTTGGCATTGTGCATCGAGATATCAAGCCCGCCAACATTCTCCTTGATGCAAAAATGCAGGCATGTCAACATGTTTTTAAGCCTGGTTGTAAAAAATGGAAGATGCCTACCTTCATCTATCCGTTAGCAACTAGAAAGTGGTGTTTTTTCTTGCCCAGCATAGAGTCACCCACATGCTCCTCATGTTGCACATTAGTTCTATTGTTGTCAATCGGCAGGCCAAGATTGCAGACTTCGGGCTCGTGAAGCTGAGTGGGGGCACCACTATAGGCGCGTCTGTGGCTGCCACTCGAGTGATGGGAACACCGGGCTATGTTGACCCTGCCTACTACAAGTCCAACAAGGCCACTCCAGCAGCAGATGTGCACAGGTGAGCAGAATGGTGCAGGCCAGCAGATTAGTGCAAATACCAGTGCAGGTGAGGTGAGGAGCACATTGGCATAGAAAGTCCAACTCGGTAACCATCTACAGATGAGGAAAGATTATTTGGAATATATGAGGAAACTCCATTCGGAGTTGACTGGGGAATTCCATCTAGATTGCATGATAAAAGTTTTATGTGGATGATAGTTGTTCTTATGCTTTGGTTGTTTGTTTTGCTTAGCATTGAAGGCATGCCTATGTATGACCATTCAAGTGTTTGCTGATGCCCTGCTAGGTAAGATAGGATCTTTGGATATAACAAATAACATTCTTAGAGTTGTGTGAATATCATTTCATTAAACCGTCTTCATTCATTGCTTCGTTTGCAGTTTCGGTGTGGTGATGCTGGTGGTTATCTCGGCGCAGAAGGCTGTGCATGTGACAGGGGACAACCGGATCATTCTCAAGCAATGGGTGAGACACAGTGAACAATGGTATCCCAAGGCTAGTGGAGGTACTGCAATAGAAGGTATGATTCGCACCAAGTTGAATTGGTTCGTTTGGTAACACCAATTCTCCAAGTTGTTCTTGCTGCCCTTTGCCAAAAATCTGTAGGCCAGTTGATGTGCTTCTTACCTCCTTTCTCGATAGGACAGATGTCGTAATGAGCAGGACAAGTGTAACCAAGACTATTCTCAAATTCTACCTACCTTTGTGTTCGTGGCACAAATAACCTTCCTACTATTCTCCTTCCTGTCTTCTTACTTCTAATTCCTCCTGTCCAGAACCTTCCCATGCTTTCTGTCCTTCCATTTATATTGTCATTCTTGATACGATTTCCAATAGCATTTTCCATCTGCCATATGCATTCAACCCGGCAGGTGGTCCCATTCGTCGACTCAGGGGCCGTGGCATCATTCAAGGACCCTCACCTGGACGCACCAGATGATTTGATGCTGCGCTGGGCCCGCCTTGCCCTGTCCTGCACTGCCATGCCTGTGGCGTCCCGTCCCTCCATGGATCAAGTGCTGGTGGAGCTGGTAAAGCTGAAGGAGGAAATATATGGGGCACACGTGAGTGAGGCCGTATCGTGCATCGACATGGAACTTGGGAGTGCTAATAGCGCCCCTTCCTTCTCTGCTGAAATTGCTCGTGCAAAGCGCACAGGGATGTAGATTGGCTCTTCCACTAGCATGTCATAGACATGGTTTTTACATGCACCTCATTGGTTTATGTCATGATCTTGGTACCAACGGTTTGTGCAACATAGATTAGGCCGAGTGACATACTCGGTTTGATAGAGAAGTTGGAATGGACATCAGTAATTAGCATGGGCGCATCAGATGTGATATGAGAAGTGGTTTGTGAACTAAGCTTTGACTGAGTGGCTGCTGCATGCATCGTAGCTGCTGGTGGCTTCATCAAACTAAGTGTGTTTGTGGCTCCTTTGCCATGGAACCGTTCAGCATACCGGTACTTTGTGCCATTGAAACACGCTTTGACTTTCTACACAGAGTTGGTCTACTGCCTATAACACCCTAGGGGGTGTTTCAACATTTGAGAAAAAAAAACAAAAACAAATAATGGGTGGCTGTTCTTAGTGGATCAAACACTATACTACCAAAAGATGCTACTACTATATACCTTCCAAAACCGCTATCAATGGGCCTCATTTCTTCCAGAAATGCTATTATATGGCACAAACCATTAGTATCAGACTAACAAGGCAAACCCATAAGGTGCAAGCAATAACAAAGAATACTATGTGGAAGAGCCATTCCTCGTACCCTCACGCTCCACACGGGCCATTTCAGCAGTGAAGCCCGAACAATGAATACGGCTTCCACTTTCCTTGTGAATGGCAGATTTGGCATCGCCCACATGTGCTCCAAACGCCTCGTGCTTCAGCTCACCAGCTCCCACAGCACTTGATTCATGGTGGGGTGGGAGGCTGCAGGCATGGCAGTGCAGGAGAGGGGAAGGCGAGCCCAGCTCAGCACCAACTTATCTGGTGCGTCAAAGTAGGGGTCCTTGAATCTGAGTCCACGAACGGGGCAATCTGCCATGCGGATATACACATGTATGCTAACTGCGTGGCCACGGCAACGGGTAAGGATTTGAATAGCAGATACACATTTCATGTAATAAGTGTGAGTACCTTTGTACCAAGCACACGTGGCTCACCCATTGCTTCAGGTTGATCTGTCTGGCCTCGCTCACACACACAGCCTTGCATACTGAGATGACCACCAGAATCACCACACCGAAGCTGCCAAAACTCAAGCAACGACAGAAACAAGGGGACCAGAGAGGAAGGTGATGAGGGACATCTCAATGGAGAATTCCGTGCCCAATCTGCAACACCGACGTACTTATCCCCTCGAAAGAGGCAAGGCACATCTGTGTGCCCACCTGTACACATCAGTGGCTGGAGTGGCCTTGTGAGCTGTCAGTGCTGCTGCTACTGGCAGCAGATCGAGTGTCGGGTGGAGTGGGTGGGGTTGGTGCACGGGCAAGAACAGGTGGGGCTGGAGGAGGAAGAACGGAGGAACCTTGTGGGCTGGGGCTGGGGATGGGCTTGTGGGCTCCAGGCGGGGCTAGGGATAGGCAGAAGGGCGGAGGCCGCAGCAGGTGCCACTACAACAGCAGCAGCAGCGAATGCCATCGTTGCCATCGTAGCAGCAGCAGGGGGCAGTGCAGATCCAACTGCAGCCGGAGCAGGTGCAGCAGCTGGTGCAGCTACAGCATGCGCTACAGCAGAAGATGAGCCCCACCCAGATTCAGCAGGCACAACAGATGTTGGCTCGGCTGCAATCGCAGCTGCAGGCCACGCAAGGCGCAACAGGAAACAGAGGGGATGCAGGAGCAGCGGGGGTAGCAGCGAGGGCAGCAGCAGGGGCAGGGACAGCAGGAGGAGGCAGCAGAAAGACACAGCGGTAGCAAGGGCAGCAGCGGCAGCAGCGGCAGCAGGGGCAGCAGCAGCAGCAGCGGCAGCAGGGGCAGCAGTGGCAGCAGGGGCAGCAGGGGCAGTAGGGGGAGCAGGGGCAGCAGGGGCAGCAGGGGCATGCACAGCTTGCATCACAGCAGCAGTCTACATCCCCGCAAGTGGTTCAGTTCCCTGCTATGGTGCCAAAATGGCCTGCTCCGGCCTTGTATCCACTCTACCTGCGTAGTGCACCCTGGTGGGCGTGTAGCACGTACAGCTGCTACTTCGACCGGAGGGGTGGGTGGTGGTGCTGAGGAAGCTCCCTCAAAGCTGGGTGGCGTGAGATACACCCTGCTAGACAAGATAGTCCTTGAGAGCACGGCGTGCGTTGCCCATATCAGCTTCTGCAACCCAACTGTCCTCCGACGGGTCGTATCCTTTCCAGCGTATCAGGAACTCGAGGGTCTTGCCGCCGCGGTGCCGATGAGTAAGAATGCGTTCCACCTCATACTCTGGTTCATCCTGTACGAGAACAGGTGGTGGTGGCGGTAGCTGCTGTCGCTGGAACTGTAGGTTGGGGTCTTTGTAGGGCTTCAGTAGCTGAGCATGGAAAGCATTGTGAAGCTTCCACGCAGTAGGTAAGCGCAAGCGGAATGTTACTGGCGATACCATCTCCTCAACGCCAGAGCTTGGACGGTAGATGAGACAAATCCAAGTTGCGTGTGTCTAGAGGAACCCGATCTCCGACTGCTACTGAGTGATCTCGTCGGTGTCGATCGGCATACTGATTCTGGGAGTTCTGCATCGTGGTGAGACGTCGCTGAGTCTTCTCCCATAGTTGCTGCATGGTGGTGACGAAGTCATGTGCGGCTTGGACGTGTGCCGATGTTGTTGGCTGCTGTGGTGTAAGTGGTTCCCGTCCGTAGCACAGGAAGAAAGGAGATTTCTCTATGGCCGCATGTGACGCGTTGTTGTAAGCGAACTCAAGCGTCAGTAACTGTAGATCCCAGTGGCTCGTCTTTGCAGGCTGTACGCAGTAACTGTTCAACCACCTGATTGAATCGCTCTGTCTGTCCGTCAGTCTGGGGGTGGTACGCTGAAGACATTGCAGGCTTTGTCCCCAACAATCCCATGAGTTCCCTCCAGAACGTACTAGTAAATTTTGGGTCTCTCTCTGAGATGAGTGTAGCGGGGATGCTGTGGATGGTGATGATGCGATCGAAGAAGAGGCGAGCAGTTTCTTCAACTGTAGCCGTGGCGTTGGTCGGAATGAAGTGTCCCATTTGAGAGAACTTGTCGATCACCACGAGTATAGCGTCATGCCCTCGTGAGGTCGAAGGAAGCCCGGTGATGAAGTCAAGGCTGACGACTTGAGATGGCTGCTCCGGTACGGGTAGAGGCTAAAGTAACCCTGCTTTTTTCTGCTTGCTACTCTTCATCTCTTGGCATGTGTCACATGAGGTGACGAACTGCTGCATGTCTGCTGCCATCCGGGGCCAGTAGTAATACTATGCTATCCCTGATAACATCTTGTTACTCCCGAAATGTCCCGCGTATGCCACGTCGTGAAACTCCTCCGGTAAGAGCTGTCGGAGCAGGGCATAGTTTGGTACCCAAATCGTTCTTGAACCCTTCATTACAGCTAAGTCTTTCTCCCACTGAAACAGCTTTTGTTTCTGTGCTGTAGCGATCTCTGCGTCCACGGAGTACCCATGTTGGAATAGACCCTTGAGGAGAGGGTTCATCCCGTCGAGCTGGATGCCTGCTACATTCCCAGGGCGGCTCAGTGCGTCGGCCTTGTTGTGTAGCCCTGGCTTGTAGACGATGTCGTAGTGCAAGTGGGTTTCCAGGAAGTCCATCCACCGCACCTGTCGTCGTGAGAGCGTCGGCTGCAACTTGAGGTATTTGAGGCTGAAGTGGTCAGTGTAAACTGTAGTCTTGTCTCCCTCTAGGTAACACCTGCACGCCTTGAAGGCTGTGACTATTGCTACGGCTTCCTTGTCATGGATTGGGTAGTTCAGTTCTGCTTTGTATAGCTTTTTACTGAGGTAGGGGATGGGCTGCAAACTGCGTCCGTGATCCTACATCAGTACTGCTCCGACTGCCTGGTCACTAGCGTCTGCTTCCACCACGTATTCTCTGTCTGGGTCCGGTAGGATGAGTACTGGCGCAGTAGTCAGTGCTGTTTGTAGCTACTCCATGGCTCGCTGTTGAGGAGTATCCCATCTATAGTCTCTATCCGATATCAGTAAGTTTGTTAGTGGCACTGCTATCTTAGTGTACTGTGGCACGAACCTCTTGTAGTAGTTGGCGATTCCTAGGAACTGCTGCAACTCCTTGACGTTCTCAAGAACTTTCCACTTCTTGACGGCTTTGATCTTTTGCGGGTCCACGTGTACGCCCTCGGCACTCACTATGTGCCCAACAAACTGCACCTTTTTCTGGGCGAAGTCGCTCTTTGACAGCTTCATGTAGAACTTGTTCTCCCGCACAATCGTAGACTTTCCGCGGATGCTCCATGTGCTCCTTCATGTTCTTGGAGTAGATGAGAATGTCGTCCAGGTACACCACCACGCACTCGTCCAGCAGGGGCCGTAGGATGTGATTAAACTCCGTTGCTAGTGCGTTGCAGAGTCCGAACGGCGTCACTAGATAATTGTAGGAGCCGTATCGGGTACAAAACGCCGTCTTGTGAAGCGAGTTGTTTGCCATCTTGATCTGCCAGTAACCCGACCCTAGGTCCAGCTTCGAAAGCACCATTGCACCACGCAGTTGGTCTAGAAGATCGTCTATGCGCGGTATGGGGTATCTGTTCCTGACTGTCTGTTTGTTCAGTGCTCGGTAGTCGATGCACATCCGTAAACTACCGTCTGGCTTCGGAGTGAAGAGAACTGGTGCACCATAGGGAGAGGTGAATGGCGGATCAGATGTATGTCCAGTAGATACTGTATCTGCTTCTTCATGTGTGTCAGTTTGGTCGGACAAAGGCGGTATGGTGCACGTGAGACGGGTTTCGCACCTGGTTCCTCCACGATCTCGTGCTCGTGGGTTCGCGCTGAAGGCACTCCTACAGGCAGGTCGCCTAGCATGATATCTTTGTACTGCTCCAACACCTCCTGTACTGGTGCATGTAGCTCCGAGTTCGGCTTCTCCTCCTCTGCTGCTGCCATAGCCAGTGCTAAGTTGCCCGTGTTACTCTCGTTCACCATCCGTTCGAACCGTGCAAGTGTTGTTTCAGGAACGTCCCCT